TTGTTTTTTATTCTGTTTACATGTAATGTGTATCCCATTTATTGATCCTTGATTCCCAGGGATCAGTACCACTTGATCATAGTGAATGATCCTTTTAATGTGCTACTGAATTCTGTTTTCTATTATTTTATTGAATTGTTGTTGTTGTTGTTCTGGTACTTAGGATTGAACCCCATAGACCCACTACCACTGAGCCACATCCACAGCCCTATCTATCTATCTATCTATCTATCTACCTACCTACCTACCTACCTATCTATCTATCTATCAATCAATCAATCAATCTAAGAAAGGCTCTCCCTAAGTTGCTCAGGGCATTGCTAAGTGGGTGAGGCTGGTTCTGAAATTGCTCTCCTTCTGCCTCAGCCTCTAGAGTCACCAGGATTGTAAGGGTGCACCAACATGCACAGCTGTTGAGGATTTCTTGCATCTATGTTCGTTAGGGCTGTTGGCCTACAATTTTCTTTATTTCTGGCTTTGGTATCAGGATTATCCTGGCCCTGCTTTCATTGTTTGGTATTATGCTTGTGAGATCCGTCCATGGGGTTACATGCAACGGTTTGTTCATTTTCATCATCCTTTGGGAGTGCATTATGTGGATATATAACAACGTATTTATCTGTTCTTTTGTTGATGGACATATGGGTTGTTTCTAATTTTCAGCATAACGTACTACCAGGATAAACACTGGTCTACACGTAACTGGTGAATATGTGCATGTGGTTCTGTTGGACATATTCTTAGGTGTGGAATTACTGGGCAGTAGAGTATGCATTTGTTCAGCTACACTAGCCATAGTCAAATGCCTTAGCAAAGTGTACCAATTTGCATTCCCACCACCAGAGTATAAGAGTTAAACCTGGGATTTTCTTTTCCTTGGTATGGTGCTGGGAATGGAACCCAGGGCCTTGCATATGCTAGGTAAGTGCTCTATCACAGAGCTACTCATTTTTGTGAGCGTTTATGGCGTTTTTCATTTTAGCCATCCTAGTGGAGGATATCCTGGTATCTAGCTGTGGTTTTAATTTGCATTTCCCTGATGACTAATGAAGTCAAGCTCTTTTTCTTATCCATGTGGATGTGCTCTTTTTTTTCCTTGAAGCATTATTGGTTTACCTTGCAGTTAGATTTGCAGTCTACCTAGAATTAGTTTCCGTGTGTAGTGGCAGGTAGGCGTCAGGATAAATCTTTTCCCATATGAATAGCCAATCGACCTAGCACTGTTTATTAAAAGGGTGATTCTTCCTGAATGCACCATGCATGGCCATACCTTAGGTGTCCCTATGTTTGTGGCCTATCTGGCCCTCCTTATTCTTTTCTTTCTTTCCTTCCTTCTTTCTTTCTTCTTTTCTTCTTTTTTTTTTTTTTTTTTTGATACTGTGGATTGAACCCAAGGGTGCTTAACCACTGAGCCACATCCCCAGCCCTTTTTTTGTTTTATTTTTTTTTAAGTTGTACATAACGCAATACCTTTGTTTAGTTTATTTATGTATGTGGTGCTGAGGATCGAACCCAGTGCCTCACCCATGCCAGGCAAGTGCTCAACTGCTGAGCTACAACCCCAGCCCGCCCCCCAAACCTTTTTATTTTTAGAGACAGGGTCTTGCTAAGCTGCTTAGGGCCTTGCTAAGTTGCTGAGGCTGGCCTTGAACTTGAGATTCTCCTGCCTGGGCCTCTGAGCCACTGGGACTATAGGTGTGCGCCACCACGCCTGGCCCTACCTGGCCCTTCTGCTCTATTCCACTGGTCTGCCTGGCCATCCAGCACTGTCTCAGTGGGAGAGCTTTGTGATCCGCTGGTTAACTGGTAGAGTGAGTCCCTTAGCTTGTTCTCTGCAAATCTCTGGCTGTTCCTGGTCCTTTGTGCTGATTTGAGGCCCTCTTGCTCCTGAACTTAGACTCAACTGTGCCATTGGTTTTTTTTAACGCCCTCCATTATCTCCCATCAGAGGCTCAGAGAGGTAAGTGCCTTGCCCCGCGTGCACTCAGCTCCAACTCAGTCTCAGCTCCGCCTGGGAGCTCCCTGCCCTTACCACCGGCAACTTTTTATTTTTCTTTGACTCAGCTTCTTTTTTCCCTTCTGTTTCTTTCTGCGACGCTGGAGATAGAACCCAGAGCTTCACCCAGGCCAAGCAAGTGCGCTTCCTCTGAGCTACATCCCCAGGCTTTTAAAAACAAAATTTATCTTGAGACAGGGTCCAGCTAAGTTGGCCTTGAACTTGTGATCCTGTGGCCTCAGCCCCAGAGTCACTGGGACTGCAGACGTGCCCCATCATGCCTGGCCCCGTCAGCTCTTGTGGCTGGTCCCCACTTCCTGCTTCCAGGTGCTGTGGGTTCCCTGCAGTTCCCCTAATGCTGTTGACCTCAGGGTCTTTGCATAGTTGGCCCCTTCCACAATCTGCTTCCAACTGCTCATAGCCGACTGAGGTGTCCAGCGTGCTGCTCCGAGTGGTGGCGTCTTGTTCAGTGCTCTCAGAGGCCCAAGTCCTGGCACCTTCCCTCTTCCTTCCATGCATTCCCATGGTCCCAGCTACTCGGGAGACTGAGGCAAGAGGATCACAAGTTTGAGGCCAGCCTGGCCAACTTAGTGAAATCCTGTCTCAAAGTAAAAAGGGCTGGGGTGCAGCTCAGTGGTAAAATGCCCCGGAGTTAAATCCCAAGTGCCAAAAAGAAAGAAAGGGGGGGGGGAGGGAGGGAGGAGAGAGAAAGAAAGAGAGAAAGAGAAAGGAAAGAGGGCAGGCTCTCAGGGCAGCTGGGATGCTCAGATGTCCTGAGCCCCCCTGGGCCCTGGCTGGCTGAACACTGTGTAATTTTGCTTGAGGATGGGAAGGGCCAGGCCTAGAGCTCAGGCCCATAGAGAGCGGCCAGCTGAGAGGCCAGCTTCCCTTCTCCTGGTCGTCTGCGGCTTCAGAGATAAGCAGTGGTAGTAGTTGGCTCCGATGCCTCGAGCTGCCCAGAGTCAGATGCTATAGGCTCTGGGACGGGGTTCTGATGCAGCAGGAGGGCTGTCAGCCCAAAGGCCCAGAAGACCCAGCATAAGGACCAGCCTGGCCCTCAGGGTGAGGTGGAGGGGCAGTGGAGCTGCATCTCAGCCCAAGGCCCCACCCGTTCTCCTGGGCCCTGTCTGGCCAGACTTTCCCCTTCTTTTCCCTGGGAGCCGGCCCAGAGAACACTCACCAATTTTGCTGTGTGACCTTGGCCACCCACTCCACCTCTCTGGGCCCTCTGGGCTCTGAAATACTGGAACTACAAAAGCTTGTTTCTGGGCTTCTGCTTCCAGCTTCTCTCATCTAACTCTTACAGCTTAAATTGCTTCCTGAGCTGTGCTGCTGGGAACCCAGAGTGTAATGACACGGCCAGGTCCCTGTGGGCCAGAGCCCTCTCAGGCTCTCCCAGGTCTTCTCCCCTGGCCTCCAAGGCTGGGGCTGGGGGGAGGCCAGAGGGCGCGGGGTGATTGGCCTGTCTGGACAGAGGGGAAGACAGAGAGGTCACATGGTTGGCCTGAGGTCACACAGCAGCCCCCGTAGGGATATGGGCGTGGAAGATAAAGTAGCTGCTGGTGCAGAACAAGGAACAAGCCAGCTGTCCTGTGTCCGAGTTCTGCTGTCCCTTCCAAGACCACATTCTGCTTGGTCTCATGCCTTCCTTCCTGTTTCCCCTCATCGTCCGCTTCCTGTGGGGCCCCAGCTCCCTCCAGGGTGTGTGGGGAGCCCTGCCTGCTCAGCCCTTGCTCCTGAGAGGCAGGGTTGTGAGGCCGAGGTGGAGGCACCGAAGTCTGAAGACTGGGCTGGAGTCCAGGCAGTGCAGGGGGGACGTGGGCAGGTGGCATCCCTGCGCCTTGGCTCTCTTTCTGAACCGTGGCAACAAGGTCCCCCTCCAGCTCTGTTTTCAAATAATAGACTCAAACTGTCATTCAGGGGTCTTCCACACGGTGTCCCAGGGCTCCTCCCTCCTGCTCCTCCTGCTCCTCCTGCTCCCCCTGCCCGGCCTTCTCCCAGCCTGTGTTAATTATAGCGGCATCTTCCAGTTATCCAAGCAGCACCATTCCCATGGCAGAAATGAGAAAATGGGGGCTCAGAGAGGCTGCGTGACTTGTTCAAGGTTGCCCAGCAGGTGAGGGGTGCAACTGGCCTCTGCACCTACATCAGTCTTCCTCTCCAACATGGTTTTGGAAGCCAACCTCCCGAGCCTCCTCCTCTCCCAAGTGAGGCCGGGAAACTTGCTTGAACCTTGATGGGGCTGCAGCATTGCCCGGGCAGGCCCAGGAGGAGTAGATCCTCGAGGTGTGGCACTGTTGCAGCCTTGATGGGGTGAGAGGGTCCAGCTAGCAGAGGTGGCACAGTCATTCAGGTGCTTGGTCTCTGAACACCTGTCAGTGTACCTGATGTGACAGTCTCTGCTCGCTGCTTGTTCCTGCCCTCTCCTTCCCTCCTGGAGGCTTTTCCTGGCCACATCCAGTCTCCCTTGTTTTTGGTCATCGTGGGGGTGCGAGGTGCAGGGCACGGGCTGGGAGTGAAGGCAGGAACCTGCTCCCCACAGAGACACTGATTCTCGGTAGATCAGAACTACTCATCTCAGGTGCAGGGAGGAAACGTGCCCCTCCTGGCTAGAGGTGAGGGTTGGGAGGAAGGAGAACTGGGGATGAGACCCAGCTGCTCTCCTGTGGGTGTGGTGCCAGCCCTGGAGTGGCTGGGTTGGCCACTTGTCTGTTGGGTCCCCAAGGTCTAAGGAAGCTGCTTAAACAAAGAGGGAGGGAGGGGGCGTGGCCAGGCCGGCCCTGAGCCCTGACTGGTGGCCTGTGGGCCTGGCATCCCCTCCAGGCATCTGAGAGGAGAGAGCCCAGATTGCAGACTGGACACCGTACGCCGGCTGTGTGGCCTCTGCCCTCAGCTCCTCGGCTTACCTGGATGGTGAGGGTGGTGAAGCCCACTTCATGGGCTGGTGCTGACAGGGCCCCAGGTACCCCATGAGTGATGGCCTGTGTGCCCTCTTGTCCTCTAGGTGTTCTGCCTCCCCCTGGGGCAGCGGCCACCATGTTCTCCTGCGTGAAGCCTTATGAGGATCAGAACTACTCGTCTCTGAAGCGGGCCTGTCTGCGGAAGAAGGTGCTCTTCGAGGACTCCCACTTCCCCGCTACCGATGACTCGCTCTACTACAAGGGCAGTCCAGGGCCCACTGTCCGGTGGAAGCGGCCCAAGGTCAGTGTCTGGCCCCCATGGAGCTGGGCGAGCAGGCCAGAGACCCCAGGCTGAGTCTGCAGGGACACAGGGATACCTACCGCCCAGAGAGCAGAGGGTCCTATTTTGAGCCCCTGTTATGTGATGTGACCTGGGCAGGGGTCCAGGAGAATGGGCCCTCACCCCACAGCCACCACTGCCCAGCTAGGCCCACCGTGGAAAGTGCACCGGTCCCCTTCCCCTCTAGGGTTGTTTTGGCCTGTGGGTGTGGCCTTGGTTTAGTAAAGTGTAGAATGATATCAAGTGTAAGGGATTTCCTCATTATTCTCATCCTCATGGTTTGGCAGTCATCTGTTCCTGTCAAAATGAAAGCGTTTATCATGATGACTGATCAGTAAGGATAAGGGCAGTAAGAAGTAAGAGCCTGTGCTTCTTGTTGTGAGGATTAAAACAGGGCCTGGCTGTTTTAACGGGGAGTCTTTTCCATCAATATTGGTCCTGATGGACTCTGGCACCTCCTGGCCAYTCCCCTGTCCCGGCCTCAGGACTGAGGCCTGAGTGTGGCCCCATTGGGTGACTGCTCTGTCCTGGGTGGGAGGCTGGGTGGGGAGAGGACCTTGCAGAGCGGGTGTCCCCGGGGGGCCGGCGTGAAGGAGAGACTGCTAGAGATCATAGCTCAGGCCCCTCCCCAGGTCCCATGGCCATGTTAGTGACATGGTGAGGTGTGTCCCACAGAAGGGACTTCAGTGGAAGACTGCTCTACCTGCCACCCGGACTAGACCTGGAGGAGACTGTGACTCCTGCTCAGTTCTCAGATAAGGCATCTCAGCCAGGGGAGAGGCAGGAAGCTCAAAGCAGGTGGAAATGGCAGGCCCGGGTGCCCAGGGTGGCTGGGGCCAGGGCTGGGGGTGGTGTACCGGGCCACGGCTCTGGGTGGGGCCCATGTGCAGGCTGAGGTGCTGGCCCTTGCTCTGAGGGTCTTGTGCAGCAAGTGACAGGATCAGGTTTGCATTTTACAAAGTCTTGGACTTTGGGGGAAAGTTAAATTTATTGTTCAAGCTCCTCTCCGAGGCAGGGTCTGAAACCCCTTTCAACTCACAAATCCCCATGCTCTCTTTTGGATTGGAACCCTTGAGAGTGAGGGGAACAAGCCAGGAGAGGAGGCCTGAACCCCAGATCACCCAGTGAGTCACTAGCAGGGGTGGGCCAGTGCCCTGGAGTCCTGCCTCCCTGGACCTTCCTGTGACACCAGGTGAAGGGTCCCTGGTCCTCTGGCCCCTGCATTCATCCTCTGGAATTCCCCAGAGCCTTCAGCCTGGTCACAGAATTTTGGTGGCCCACCCTCTCACGTCATTTTTCTTTGTCAAGTGGGTGGGGAAGGAGGCTACCCTCAAAGGGCCTTTGTAGGGTTTTGGTTCCGGGAGGAGGAGTGGACACTCACTCTCTGCCCTTTTCTTGCTCCACCCTTGCTTGCTGCCCTTGTCCTGGCCCTCTTCCTGCCCTGGACCTGTCACCCAGACTTAAAGATGCCCGTGGCCTGGGGACCCGGAAGGAGGCTGGTGAGGCCTGGCTGGGGCAAGTAGGGCAGGCTATGGCTCTGCCTGGCTGTGTGACCTGGGGGAGTCTCTGCCCTCTCTGGGCCCAGGAGCCCTGCCTGTCTGTCCACCTCACCACCTTCCTCCCTGGGCCCTTCCAGCCTGGCTGACAAGCAGGAACGGAGCCGCTGTGCTGTGGGAGGGGTGACAGCGTGTGCTCCTTGGTCTTGAGGGACGTGTCTGGGGGGTCCACGAGGCTGCAATAGGGGGTTCAGCTGTCTGTGGAGAGGCAGCTCAAGGACTGAACCCCCTGGGGAGCCACAGAGGACCAGGAAGTGAGACCACACGATGGGATGTTGACTGTGTGGATTTAAAGAGTGTGAGTGGGCAGCGCCTGGGCCCTGGACCCTGGACTTCTGGATGGCTGGACAGAGGTCCATGGAGCAGGAAGTCAAGCCTCCGTGGGCGGGCCCAGCTCCTGATCCGTAGCTCTCACCGCTGCCCAGTGAACCTTGGCCCTGGGGCAGCTGCGGGTCCGTGGTCCTGTAGCCCAGCTGTTCACAGGGAGGCCCAGCTCCTTCCTCAGCCCAGGGAACCTTCTTCACTTCTACCCCATTTCTGGCTCCTTTTCTCTAAGTTGTTGTGACAGTGGCCCTCGGTTCTTAGAGGTTCTCCTCAGCCACCCTCCCTGCCCAGGGCGTCACCTCTTATTGACTCTGCAGGTGGGACCCAGCCTGGTCCTCTTCCCCCTCCACCCAGGGCACCTGCTTTAGGCCCAGCCCTGCTGCAGCTCATTGTGTTTTGTTTTTCTCTCCAGTACAGTAAACACCTGCCAGCCTCCTTCACAGGCTGGTCAGGGAGAGGCGATGGGCACTGTCAGCAAGGCCTGGGAACTCGGGGGAGACCCAAGAGTATGGACAGTGCCACCTCCCAGCTCTCTCAGGCTCAGGGCTGGGTAGGGGGCCACCTGACATCCCTGTGGGGACAGAGTGCCCCCATCCATCACTCTACTTACCTCACGTGGAAATCAGTCTGGGGGTCACTTGGTGGAACACAACATGGGACAAGTGGGGGTCCTACAAACTGATGGCAGCTTTGGAACCCCCCAGAACTTGTCCATCCCTACCCTCTGGGGCTCATGCCCATTTCCTGGGGTGGCCTCTGCTCTTCTGTTGTGCTGAGCAGTAGACCCCTGAATGTCCCCAAGCAGACTGTCTGCTTCGAGGCCAGGTGCCAGGCAGGCCTTTGCCCTGGCCAGGAACCTTGGTACCCTTGGCACCGGGACAGGTTCAGGGCAGCAGGGGAAGGCTTGTTAAAGGAGGTGGCCTTGAAGGATGGGAATGGTGACAGGAGCTGTGGGGGAGGCAAGCCTGGGGCAGAGGGTGCAGGTCACACAGCATGACTCACGAGAACACTGCCCTTTCCTGTCCTAGGCAGAGGTCCCCCTCCCAGTGTCCCCAGTTGCCAATTCCTTCTGTGATCTTGAATTCTGGAGCAGGGTGACCTGGATGAAGGTGGGCCGAGAACAGGTCAGGGAGCAGAGGCCAGAGGTGCCGCTCGTGTGTGTGTGTGTGGGGGGGGGGGTTTGTGTGTGGGTGGGTGTGGACCTGCTGCCTGTGCACACCTGTTTGTACACTAGGACAGGGAACCTGAACTTCCTGTTGTGCCAGGGGGAGGTGACTGAGGGCTGCGGCCTGCATCTGGTCCAGCCGGTCCAACAGGCTGGGAGCCACAGAGGAGGGAGAGGTGACCACAGGTGCAGAAGTCTGTGCCCTAGAGGTGTGTTGACCAGAGGAGCCTCCCCAGCCCTCCCGTGGCTTGGCCCAGGGCCAACCCTGGCACTAGCCCTCCCAATCCTGTTTACAGCCCCAGCAGAACCTGCTAGACCCTGCTCACCCTGGAGGTGGGCAGAGCTCACAGGCTGGTGGGGGAGACCCCAAGGCATGGATAGTGGTGGAAGAGGGCGCAGGCCAGGCCTGGGCGGAGTTGTGTCAGAGGTGGCCTCTGTCTCCGGCTGGCCCCTGTTGTGGGGAGTATTCAGAGTTCTCATTTGTCTCTGGAGCCGCTCCTCCCATCGGCCCTCTCCACGCCTGTTTGATGGTGGCCTCTGTGATCCCTCCAGGCTTGGGCTGTGACAGCTCCGCTCACATAGAGCTCAGCTCTCATTCCTCCTGCTCAAGGGAGACAGGGACCTGTGGACAGGTACCGTCCCTGACTCACTCTATGGTACATGTCCAACTGATGACCCAGAAAAGGTGGAAGGACAAATGCCAGTCTGGAGAAACCTGGCCCCATGGTGGTGGGTGATGGTCTGGGTATCCCCTGGCCCCTGAGCTGGGCTTAGAACAGATGCAGGGGGACAGGTGAAAGAAGGGTGGCTTTGTCACCCATAACCTGGCCTACCTGGAATTTCTAGAGCCAGACTTGGAGTTTTGAGTTTGAGTCTCAGTTAACCTCTTCCTCTGTGGTCCTGGGCAAGTGACCTAACTTCTCTGTGCCTTGGTTTCCTCATCTATAAAAGGAGATGCTAGCAATACTGGTCTTGCAGGGTTGCTTTGGGCAGTGCCTGGCCCGCAGTGCCTGGCTTGCAGTGTGTGCGTGGTCCTTGAGAGCTATTTCTATGATGGTTCTTTTACAGGTGCCCCAACATGGTCTCTGAATTCCAAGTGCCACCAAACTCACTTGGTTTCTGCAGCTTACAGCTGAGGACCCTAAGCCTGTCCAGGCAGGGGGAACAGGCCCAGGCCTCAGGTGCTCCCTCCCAGGCTGTCATGACCTTGGTGGCACTGCCTGGGCTCAGCCTCCTCCATGGAATGGGGCAGTCATGTCTGCCACAGGCTGGGAGCATCTGAAGTGGAGGGCACCTCATAGTCACCTCATGGCATGCCCTGCAGTGCTGGTCTCCCCCTGGCCTGCCCTAGCTGGGGTCCTCCAGATATTGAAGCTCCTCCTTCCTTCGGTCCCTCAGGCAGATGCTGAGTCATCACCAGGCTGGGCTGGGAGGCGAGATAGGAAGGCAGCTGAGAGGCCCTGGGGACAGGATGGGGCAGGCTGCCTCCCTTGGTCTCCTGTGACCTGAGATGAAGCACCCAGACCTGCTGTGGGGAAGCCTCCTCACTGCTTGGCTCTGGGTCACCCTGCGGTTCCAACTGGAATCAGGGGTCGGGTCTGGGGAGCCGCTCATGTCCTCTGGGAGTTGATCTTTTCCTCCATCCTGTGATACTGGTTTCTCTGGAAACCAGGGGATTCTCAAGCACCTTATGAGAGCTGAAGGGCCCTTTGTCCCACTTCCACCTGCCCAAATCTCCACCACTAAGATCTGTGGGGGCCTTAAACAGCCCTGCAGGAATAACAGTCTGTCTCCTTTGCACAGGTGAGGAAATGGAGGCACAGAGAGGTTGAGCTACTGGCCCAGACTTGTACAGTTAATGAATAGGGAGCAGGAATTGGAGTTCTATCTTCCTGGTTCTGCTACCATCTACTGGCCACCTGTGGTAGGGCCTCAGGAGCTCTGTGGTGATTGATGGATGGAGCTCAGGAGCAAACTTGCAGGTGACCTGCTGTCACCTCCCCCTGCAGTATGACTAGGGCATGTTGTTCAACCATTCATCTGTAAAATGGGCATATATTTCCCCTCTCCGGGCTACGGTGAGGATTGACCATGGTGCTAGCAGGCTGTGTGGCACATAGAAGACCTGAATCAGTGTCTCCCTGATCCCACCCCTTGGGGGACAGTCACTTTCAACTCTGTGGAGTCAAGGTGCTGGTGAGAGAAAAAGAGGGGCCTGGGGTGGCCAGCTGCATATGCAGCGCTGGCCAAGGCCTGGATGGGCAGTAGAAGAGACCCCCTCTTGTGCCCAGCCCCACACTGCCTGGCCCACAAGTGATGCAGGTAGCCCCTGGCTGTAGGTGGGGCTCAGCTCTAGGCAAGGATTGTCTGTCACCCTGCAGAGGACTAACCAGCTGCCCACCTCAGGCCTGGGGTGGGATGTCAGCCACTATGGGAAGCCGGGGAATGAACCCTTTTAGCTTGTGTCTGAGGTCAAAGTCCATGGGTCTCCCACTTCCCAGCCTCAGGGAGCCTTAAAGGAAAACTCTGGGTGAGCTTGGTGGGAGGGTCTGGTGCGGAGACCCCCTGCCGGCTTCCCTGGGCTTCCAGGAACTAGGAAGGGCTGGGTCCCACAGTTACCAGGTTGTGTGAGTCACTTTCCGGTCCAGTGGCTGCCCAGCCTGGCTTCCTGTCATGTCCTAGGGAGTACACCCCCTGCCATGGCTGCCAATCCCCATGGGAAAAGCAGCAGGATTTTATGTTCCACTCGGGCATTTTGTATGGTATGCCTTTAACAAGCCTCTGCGCTACTGTGGACCTCCATTCCTGAAATGGAATAGCAACTCCATACTCCTCAGGGGTGTGGGGATCAGATGAGAACAGGAGGGGCATCAACTCGCCCCACCAAAGCCCTCTGTTGCCACGCCCCACCCGCTGTTCACTCCTCCCCACCCTCAGATAGCCACGCCCCTGCCCTCTGCTCTCTAGGCCCCGCCCTCTGCTCATCACTGTCATTTTGGTGTTGTCTCACCTCCCCCTTCCCACCCCAGGGCACCATGAGGGCTGGCTGGTCAGGGAGGGCCACATGGATGGGAAGAAGGTGGTGGCCGGGGTCCAGCCTCCAGACCACCTTCTACAGCTTGTTCATCATCATGCCATTGGCAGAAGCGCGCTCTGGGTCAGAGAAGGAAGAGGGCATCCAACCAGGAACTGGGGAAGGCTGGGTCTGGGGAGTGGTCTGCCAGGTTAGGCCCTCAGTGTGTGGGGACAGGGAACCTCTGTGCTGGCAGCAGGTGGGCATCCTGTGCTCCTGGGGCCCTCACGCTCTCCCTGCCCTCTCTGTAGGACATCTGCGAGAACCCCCGCCTCTTTGTGGATGGCATCAGCTCCCACGATCTGCACCAGGGACAGGTGGGCAACTGCTGGTTTGTGGCAGCCTGCTCTTCACTCGCCTCCCGTGAATCGCTGTGGCAGAAGGTGAGGCCTGGGGATGGGGCTGCTGGGGCACTGAGGCAGCCTACGGCCCTCACTGCCAGGCAGGTGTAGCCCTGATGTGGCTGGAGACTTCCTGAAAGCCTGCTCCAGGGCCAGGTGGTGACCTTGGCCCCTCAGCACTGGTCAGGCATCAGATTTGCCTTCCCTCCACCATCAGCTGAAGATCCAGAGGCAGGTGCTGGTAGCATCTGTGTAACTCTAGGGGGATCCTGATGTGTCCCCTCCACACTGTTGGGTGCCTAGTGTCTCTGGAGCCGAATATATACCTGTGACATATGGAACCTTCCTGCATGATTTTCAGTGTGGAGTCAGCTGTGACGGGGCTCAGGGCAACTCTGCCAGTAACCTGCTGTGTGACTTGGGCTGTTGCTATCCTTCTCTGGGCCTTGCTGTTCCCAGTTGTTCAGCATGAGTGGTCTGGACAATCTCCAGCTTCTTGACTGGTTCTACACTGCTGATGTTCTTGACCAGTCCGGGAGGGCCACAAGGGTGGGGGGAAGGTGGTGGCCCAGGTCCAGCATCCTGATCACCTTCTACAGCTTGTCCATCATCATGCCATCCAAAGGTTTGGGGTTGGAACAAATGGACTCTGGTCTTGCCATCTGGTTCTTTTATGGCAGCACTTAGCATTGGGACCCTCAAATCCAATGCTTCCTTTTGGGGAAAACAGGGAGGCTGGAGTGGAGGCCGAACTTGGTGAATTAAGGCAGGGTTTGTAGAGGAGACCTGGGCTGAGCACAGGATTAAGCTCCAGTGGTTGTCTCTTTCCCTTCTCTGCTCTTCCTAGGAAGGGGTGGGTGGTGGGCTGTCATGGGGCATTGAGTCGCCCAGGCTCAATCTGAACCCCAGCCTTACCAGTCGGAAGCTTTGTAGCTGACCTCAGGTTATTCCTCTGCAGAATCAGAGTAGTGGCCTTGCCAGAAGGTGGACTGACATGCTGTCCTTACCGTGCTTGGTGTGATGTGACGCTCAGTGGACGCAGCGTTAGGAACATTCCTGGAATGTTCGTATGCAAGCAGGGTGCAAGGAGCACAGTGTGTTTTTCTTCATCCTCTGAGGCATCCATCAGCCATCAGAGGGAGCTATGCCCTTGGCCGAGGCTGGGACTCGGGTCCCTTTTCTCAGGTCTTCTTAACAGGGTGTGGCCTCTCACAGCCACCCAGTGGGCATCCCTGAGGCCTGGCCTCTGAGGCTCCTGCAGTGGTCAGGGCAGCTGGCTTTAGGGCTCGCAGGGCCTCAGCAAAGGCAACGGCCACAGCTTATAGATTTGGGTATTCAGGGGCATCCAGGCTGGGAGAAAGCTGTGGGGCCTGGCCCGATTCTCTAGGTGGAGGTCTGGTCTCCATTCTGCAGCCTCCAGCCCGCTTCTTTGAGTCCAGAACCAGGCCCCCTGCCCCTGAGCCCCAGCACCCCCAGGCGAGGACTCATGTGGGGCTGGAGGTGGCACAAGGGAATCCTTCGGGGCTGCCCCCCACCTCCCACCCGCCCTATAATTGCCTGTTTATCTGCTGTCTCCCCCCTTGAGGTGAGCTCCCCACAGACAGAGCCGGTCCAACTTATATCTTCCCTTGGAGCCTCACAGGGGCCAGCATAGAGGAGCCTCTGGAGAGTTTTGGGAATGGAAGTCCACCCCGAATTGTTCCACCCAGCTTTTGACAGGCAGCTCCACTGCCAGCCTTTCTGACAGTACCTCTGGGTCTAGGAGTGGGCTGGTGCCGAACAAGATGGGAGGAGCTCAGCGCTGTGTGCCCTGCCCCAGGCCTGGCCCTTGGTCCCTGTGGCAGCTCCCCATCTTTACTGCTGGAGGAAGAGGCTGAGACTCACAGGAGGAGGCCTGGTCTTGATGCTGTGCCTCCTTGGGCAGGCCTGCTCTTATCTCTGGACTGAAGTTTCCTCTTTTGAGGGGTTAGGACACCGGCCTGGGTGGTCTTCCAGGCTGCAGAGCCAGGAGGCTGGTCTCCTGTAGCTCAGGTCCCCAGCCTGAGCTAATTGCACTCTGCCTCCAGGTACTGCTGTGGCGATAGCCCCTGGGTCCTGGGATGAGGCTCCAGGGAGCTCATTACTGTGCCTCACGCTCCCTGACGGGGCCCTGTTTGTTGTCACCCCTCACTTTCTGGGCCTGTTGCCCTGCAGGGCCTCCCTGCCCCACCCTGTTTTCTCCCTGGAAGGGCAGTGGAGGGGACAGGGGTGGCGTTTAGCCTGGGTTGCACCTCTGCCCCCCCTATCCAGCTGCACACTCCAAGAGGCTAGGCCTCAGAAGCAGGAGCATGGTACCTGACACGCGCCCTCCTCCAGGAAGTCACCCTTCACTCTTCGTTCTTAAAGTAGCCTGGGACCAACAGGCTCAGGATTCGCCATCATGGGAGGAGGACCAGCCCTTGGCTCCCAGCACTCTGCACACTTAGCTCCCGCCCTCGCCTCTTCCAGACACCCCTGGGCAGTGGGCTCCCCTTCCTATAGGCTCCCTGGTGGGGCATCCTGGCCTCCACATCTCACTGCGTGTTCCCTGCAGGCAGGGAGGTGGTGGACTTCAGGTGGCCAGGTTTTGTGAACCTGAAATCAGGAAGTGGCAGTTGACAGCACTTGCCAGGAGACCATGCCTAGGCTGGACCCAAGGTCGTCTATGAGCTCCCCTCCCTGGGAGCCTGGTGCAGCCAGAGCAGAGGCCAGGCCTGCTGCCTGAGCCATCGTGTCCCTGGCCGTGGGCTGGCCTAGGCCTTGGAGGAGCCATCCAGGCCCCCAACTGCATGGAAGTTGGGGGTTGCAGTACTGGGGCAGGTTTGGGAAAGGCAGAGAAGGCCGGTGCAGACAGTCTTGGTTCCATTTTGTGTTTCCCGCTTCGTCCTGGCCCTTTAATATCAGCAGTTCCTGTTCTCAGTTATTCAGCAGTTTGCTCAGTGCACGTTCATGGGCACCAACTGCACCCCAAGTGCCACAGAAGGTCCTGGAACAGAAGGTGTGGAAAAAGTCCCCAAACCACAAAGTCAAGTGACTTTCGTTACCCAGTAGCCTCCAGTGTTAAGGATTTTCAGTTGTTGATGTTGTTGTTTCTTCCATTTCGGTTAAGAAGTTTTATTTTAATTGTGCAAGTTTGGAGCCTGCGTTTCTCCCCTGAATTTGTTCCTGCGTCCAGCCGTGGGTGGGTCCTCCCCAGTGTCTGGCAGCTGAGTCAAGGATATCAGCGCATCCAGAACCGCCTGCAGCCTCCTGCCTCCTTCCTGCCACTCCTCCAGAGCCTCTGCACCCTCTGTTTCCTGCTCCCCTCCTCCCTGCACTGTCCCCCCCTCCTGTGGCCCCTGTCGCCCCCTCCCTCTTGCCCGGTCTGTGAGGCCCAGCCTCAGCCTCCTCCTGGTTGCACATCTCCACCCCGCCAGAGATGAGGCGCTCTCCTGTGCTCCTAGATCCTCATCCAGCTGTCTGCGCTGTCACCTGGGTTCAAAGGGTGTGGCACCTCCAGGATCCTAGCCTTTTATACCCCAAGAACTGCTGTGTTCTGGGGATCACTGTGCCCCTGTGGCTCGTGTCTCCGCTCCGCCCCTTACTCCCCACTGCCCTGGTCTTAGTTCTGGGTTCCATCTCTAATAGCCTTCACCTTCAGTCACCTCGGTCACTCCACAGCCACAGCCTGGGACAGCTCTAGGTGGTCTGCAGTCAAGGCTGGGTCTCTCTGGCCTCAGCTTCCTGCTCCAGCACATTGCTGACCTGACTTCATTCGGGCCTCAGCCAGTGCCCTGAGCTCTCCCACCTGCCTGCATCCTCTTGTCCTTGGCCCACGGTCCCTCCAGCAGCTATTCTCGTATCAGTGTCACTTACTCATTCAACAAGCATTTCTGTGGGCCTCCTCTGTGCTTCCCTTGTTCTGGGTGCTGGCCTAGGGTCCTGAGCAAGATGGGCCCCGTCCCTGCCCTCTCAGGGTTGGTGGTCTAGCAGGGGACACCACAGGCAGAAACGAAGCCGACATACAAGTGAAAAGCAAAATGTAGAGCCAGGAAGGGTAGAAACTGTTCCTTCCCAAGGAGGAAGGAGAAGCTGCCCGGTGTCAGTTCATCAGCCAAGTTGTTCCCCCGCCCCCGCCCCTCCAACTATAAGGTCAAAGGTTCTGATCAGGCACTGAACTCCCACTCTACAGAACCAGGTACTGTCTCCTTTGGTACCCCCATGCCATTCATGTAGCTCAAGATATCACTGATTAACGTAGCTTTCATCCAGCAACTGACTCTGCTTGTGGTTCACGAGATCCTTCAGATTTTTTTCTGTTGTTACACTTGGCCCTGGGCCTCTTTCCTCTTTCCTTTGCATATTATCGTGGTAGCCCACCCCTCTGCCCCATCCCCACCTCAACTATGCTCACATACCCCAGTTCTCTTTCATGTGTCCTGTTGTGTGTGTGTGTGTGTGTGTGTGTGTGTGTGTATTCTAAACTCAAACCCAAGGCCTTCCTCCACCACTAAGCCACATCCTGCCTTTTTTTTTTTTTTTTTTTAGTTGTAGATGGACACAATATTTTATCTTATTTATTTTATCTGGTACTGAGGATCAAACTCAGTGCCTCACACATGCAAGGCAGCGTTCTACCACTGAGCCACCACTTCAGCCCCCTTGCCCACTTTTGATAACAGAGCTTCTACTTCCTGTTGGATGCTAGAGATATAGATGTTTGTGATTCTTCCTTGCCCTCAAGTCTCCTGGGGTAACGGGGAATACGTGATAGGACTTTGGTAGAAGAGAACTGTGGTCATGTGGTTGCCATGGCACAGGGTGGAGGAAGGGCCAGGTCAGAATCAGCTGGTCAGTGATTCTCAAAGCTTGGTTCCTGGGCCAGCAGCCTGGGAGGTGGTTGGGAATGCAAATCCACATCCAACATGGATTAAATCAAAATTTCTGGGAGTGGAGGCTGACAGTCTGTTTCCAAGTCCTACAAGTAATTCTGATGCACACTGGAATTTGAGAACCAGGCATCTGGGTGGGACATGATGGTGGCAGGGTGGGGGTCCTGGCAGCGGGAATGTAGGGGAAGACTCCCTGACATTTAGGAAGTAGAATGTACCAGCCTTGGTGGTTGGATGTGGGTGAGTGAAGGGGAGGGGAGCTGGGATGTTGGCTTGAGTGACTCCAGGTCTCCATCGGGTACACCTGTCTGGTCCTGTTCTTGCCCCCCATAGGGGTCTTCCAGCCTCTCCTCCGAGCCTCCAGCCAGTGCTCCCTCCTCCCCGCATTGCCGTGCAGAGCACTCCCTTATTCACAAACAAGCAGCTCCCAGCCCATCCGTGTAGTCAAGGTGGTTTCCACAGCAGTTGACATCAGCGTCCTTGTCCCCGGGGAGGCCAGCACCCTCCTGCCTGCCTGCCTGCGTGCAGCACCTGTATTATCACGTCCAGGAGTGGAGAGGAGGCAGGTGGACTCCCACTTCTCACCGCACCCTATTTTGGAACTGGGTGGGGTCAGAAAGGGCCAGTGACCTGAGCGGAGGAGAGGAGAGGAGGGAGGGCATAAGGGGAGGTGGGGCCTCTAGGTGGCCTCTTCTCTCTGCACTGAGGCCCCAGCCCATTTGGCTCTTTGACATTGGCGGGAGCAGCAGGAGCAGCAGCAGCACTTGGGCCATGGCGGAGGACGGGCCGCAGAAGCAGCAGCTGGACATGCCGCTGGTCCTGGACAAGGACCTGACCAAGCAGATGCGGCTGCGCGTGGAGAGCCTGAAGCAGCGTGGGGAGAAGCGCCAGGACGGCGAGAAGCTGCTGCGGCCGGCGGAGTCCGTGTACCGCCTCGACTTCATCCAGCAGCAGAGGCTGCAGTTCGAGCGCTGGAACGTGGCGCTGGACAAGCCCGGCAAGGTCACCATCACCGGCACCTCGCAGAACTGGACGCCCGACCTCACCAACCTCATGACGCGCCAGCTGCTGGACCCCGCTGCCATCTTCTGGCGCAAGGAGGACTCGGACGCCATGGATTGTAACGAGGCCGATGCCCTGGAGTTCGGGGAGCGCCTGTCGGATTTGGCCAAGATCCGCAAGGTCATGTACTTCCTCATCACCTTTGGTGAAGGGCTGGAGCCTGCTGACCTCAAGGCCTCCGTGGTGTTCAGCCAGCTCTGAAGGGGCCGCCCTCTGCCCCATCTGCCCCCACCCTCTTCCTGCCTGGACCTCCCTTCCCCACCTGTGTTTTGGGGGGACATTCTTCTAGCTGCTCAGCCTGGATTCTGCGTGGCCAGAGGCCCCCTGAGTCCATGTCCTCCCCTCCTCCTCTCCTTTTCCCTGGTGTCAGAGCTCTGGCTCCCAGAAAGATTCCACGGCTCTGTAGTCTAGAAGCTTCACTGACCACCGATGCCACCCCCTGTAGATGATAGAGACCTGGTAGGGGCTCATGTGGCAGATGGAGAAGCTATAGGCACCTGCCTTCTCTGCTTCATTGAGAGGGAGTGAGACAGTCAAAGACCAAGAGAGACAGAGATTCAAACCACCAGCCATCTGGCTTCCTCCAGAGACGGGAGATGGAGATGACAGGAGCAATCTCCTCAGGGAATCCAGGAAGAAGGCTTCTGCTCTCCGCTGGACGCGGCACCCTCGGCTACCCTTGTCAGGAGGTGAACACCCAGCCTGAGGACTCGGGAAGGTGCTGCTTCTGCAATGACCCAGTGTGGTCCCAGGATGCCTCAGGACCCTCAGGACATGGGGCAGGGTTGCTGCAGGGCTGATTTGGGTGGTGGGGATGGCTTGGGGTTTGTCGCCCAGTGCTGGCTGTAGTGGAGAAGTGAAGGGGAGCTATATACAGTCACACAGATCTGTCTACCTGTATGCACACATCCATCAAGACGGCATGCAGGGCTCACACAGTGCACACTAGGGTCTATTCCTGCCCTGTGGACACGTCTAATTTTAGGTTATCCATTGAAAAATTGCTGCTGGTTCAAGGATGACTTTTGGCAAGGGGTTGATTGACATGACCTGGGTTGAGCCCCCTTGGGGGCTTCCTGAACTGGGAGTCTTTGAGATTCATACAGTGAAATGGGAGCAGTTTAGTAAAGGGTTTCCTTCTGCCTGGGGGGAGGCTGGATAGAGGGATCCAGGGCCCTGGAGCTAGAGATGGCATGTCCCCTTGGGGAAGCAGGCCTCGCCAGCTCACTGGACAGAGAGAAGCAGGCATTTCTTTCGACTAGAGCAGCTTTGGCATTTCCTGGGCTGCTTTAGGGGAGCTAGGGGAGGGGTGGGTAAAGCCTAAGGGGGTGGTTACAATGGCTGATAATCTCAAGTAGGCTGCAGGTGACAGCAATGTGATGGAGAATACTGGCCTTGGAGGTCACTGGGGGCATCCACTCACCAGATGGGGAAACTGAGGCACAGTTACTGGAAGATTCAGTTCCATCCCTAGCCTCATTCCGCTTCCCATTGCAAAGGCCCAAAGCCCCCGTTTGGAGGGGCCTGACCTGCTGCCTGGATTCAGACTCAGGCACCTCCGCAAGTGCCCCCAACACCTTGTCGCAAGGCTGGCTTTGTTTGGCCCTGGCCAGAGACATCCTTTGAAGGTCCATCAGGGCACTTGGCCCTGAGAAGAGATGTACTGAGACCTAGAGGGTCATAACCATCCCCAGTGGTGGGGCTGGTGGGGGCAGGCCCCCTCTCAGAGATGTAGAAGGTGGTGTCGGAGTCAGGGTTCTGTAGTGAGAGATGGGCTGTGGTGAGCTCTGGGCTGTGGTGGGCTCTGGTCCTGTGAAACTGTGGCTCTGGGGTCTGTTCTGGGACATGTTTGGAGAAGTGCTGGCCTTGCCTATAGCCATTGCTGCCTTACTCTCTGCTAACTATGGGATGGGAGGAGGTCAGACCCCGGGGCAGTTTCCCTTTCTGCCTCTTTGCTTGCCCTCTCCTCTCTGGATCCCCCAGACTGCTCTTCCCCACTCTGTCCCATCCCGTCTTCCTGGGAGGTCCTGAGTGCCTCTACTGTGCCCGCTGTGCGTGCCCAATAAAAGCTGTGTGTCCTGCCTCGGTGGTGTGCGTCTCACCGTGAGCACCGCCGCCCCTCAGGAGCTCTGCCGCCGCTCTCCCAGTCCTGTCCAGTGCCCTCCCATCCCTGGGCAACCCTCCATGAGCCTCTCCCAAAGTGTCTACCCCCCCTCCCACCAGCAGTCATGGATGAGGCCCAGAGCAGTCAGGTGACCGGCCAGGCCTCCCTCGGGCCTGGGTTTACTGGGCCTCCTGGCACCCCTGCAGCAGCTTAGCCAGCCTGTGTGGGGTGGAGGGAGCCTTGCTGAGGCCATGCTGTCTCCAGTCTTCCTCCCCACAGGGTGCTGGGCAGGGGTGGATGGAGCACTGGATGGCCAGGGTGTGGGACCAGGGTCGGTCCTCTCTGCTACCTGCTGGATGGCCTCAGAGTTACCGGCCCTGGATCTTCTGTCAGTCCCTGACCCTGTCCTGGCCCCAGGCTTTCCAGAGGGAACAGCCTGGCTTTTTCTGTGAGTTCCCTCTCTGCCCTACCCTTTTGAGATTGTTAGACTAGTGACCAGATATGACTGATATTGGTACCAGTGCAGCTGCAAGGCCACATCGCCTTGGTGTCCCGTTGGTCCTTCTTCACAGCTCTGTCCTTACCTCCTCTGTCCTTACCTCTTGCTCATTTTGAACAGAGACAACTGAGACTCAGAGGAGGAGGCTTCCTGTCCAGATCATAGAGGGATTGGAGGGGCTGGACCAGGGTCAGGAGTACAAGGTGGAGCACCAGGCCATGGCCCTGTGGACCTTTGACCCCATTGAAACTGTTATCTGCAATGGGCTGGGAAAAGGTGTCCCTCTGCCCCTTTCCTGAGATGGGGGTCAGAGGCTGCATTGTGGTTTTGCYTGGGAATGACCCTGCTTCAAAATGCTCCCCAAGCTGGTCTTGTAGCTCCTTTTCTCCTCCACTTCAGGGCCTCCCCATTTCCTGCCCCCACACATCCCCCTGACAGCATTCGAAGAATCCCCCTCCCCCATCTTCCAGGAGTCTCTGCCCTCCCAAGCCTGCCTCCTGGTCACTGCTGGAAACACCTCTGAGAGTCAAAAATGTAGCCCTCCCTCCGTGGGAAGAGGTAGCACCTGGCTCTGTTCTCAGGCAGGGGCAAATGACCCACTCTCCATGGAAACCACGAGAAACCGTCGGGTGGGGAGACCTGACACTTCCTGAGCCTCTTCCCAGAGAGGCAGCATGGTAAGTGTGAGGGCCCCTGCCTTGCTATGCACTGTCCCATTGGGTAACCCTGGGCAGCCTCTCTGAGTGGCTTCCTCCTCTGGTGACTCAGTCTGATGACAAGGTTGAGTGTCAGTCAAGCGCGACAGAATTGGCACCTGGCCACCCTCTCTGGGTTTGCCTTTTTCTGTCCCAGTGACTGTAGAAGCGCGGCCTCACTTCAAATTATTCTGAGGAGGGTTAGGAGAACCTGACTGCTGAACAGAAGCTCCAGATTCAGAGAGGGGGAAAAACTGCCTGAGGCCATCCAGCAGGTAGCAGAGAGGCAGGCCTGGGATGAGCAGGTCTTGGTTCCTGCTGTCCTGATCTCTGGGCAACAGGACTCTGCCCTCCCGAGGAGACAGGGATGGCACGCAGCCTTCCTGGCTCCTCCAGTTAGAGTATCTGAAACTTAAGGAATTTCAGATTCTTGAATCCAGAAGCTGGGAACTGAGGAATCTCAGATGCCCAGCACCAGGAACCTGCTAGGTCTGAGGATTCCAAAAGGCCTGTGGCTCATTTTACCCAACTTGGGTGACACAGGGAGCAGCAGCCCTTCTTGGCACAGCCACTTTGTGGCTCAGAAACGCTGTGAGCTGGGCCTTGGGGTCCCAGGTAGACATCTGGAAAGCTTTCTCCCACGCCCCTACAGCTGCGCATACAGTCACACACACACACAGCTCCTGAGCAGTACTGCCCTCCCCCGGCTCCTCCTGTTCTCTGTCCCATGACCTGAGGCTGCTTGAACCTGGTGGGAGGTTCCCAGGACAAAGCCCAGGAGCTGGGGCACCAGGGGGCGCTGTGGTGCCCATCACAGCCCTGAGATTTGGGGTGTGTGCTGCAAGAGGCCACGCCCCCAGGCAGGTGAGGGAGGCTCCAAACCCCACCCAGTCCCTGCCACCATCCAGGTCAACCCAAGTTACCCCACAGCCAGTGGTGCTGAGTTTCCCTTTCTCCTGGGAAGGAGGCCACCGGGTGGCTGCAGCTCCCCTCTGCCCTGAGATTTGCAGCCTTGAGTGCCCACGGAGGTACTCCACAGCCAACAGCCCCATCCAGGTGTGCACAGCCCTCCGCAGTATGTGGTGCACCTCCAAGGCCTTCTATTTGAGTTCTTGTGATGGTCCTGGGGGTAAGATAAGTAGATGAGGAAACTGAGGCTCTGAGATGTGGCCCAGTCCAAACTTAAGTCTCTGAGATGAGGTTGTGTGTACAGGGTCACCAACTGGTCAAGGGCCTCACCAGTGACCAGAGCTGGGGATTTTCCTCCCAGAAAGACTCCAACCAGCTTTGGAGCTGGGCCAGGCCCTGTGCCGGGTCCGGCGGGGGTCTGAGGAACTTCTCCCAATGGGTGGGGAAAGGGAGCTGTGCTGGGGAGCAGGAGTGGGGGCTAGCACCTGAGGGCCAAGGGAAGGGGGTGCAGGCAGATCACACACACACACACACACACACACACACACACACACACACACAGGGGGGAGATGGCAGGAGGCATCGTGGTGTTTGGTGGTTGTGGAAGATTTCTGAGAAGCCCACAGGAGGGCATGTTGAGGGACAGAGTTGAGAGGATCAGTTGAGCCCACTCACAGGCTCCTGTTGCCAGGCCAGGCTGTGGTGTCCCTGATGACAGGGAACTTCAAGCCCAGAGACCACAAGAGCACAGAGCTCCAGCAGCCAGCAGCTCATGCCAATCTTACTTCTTCTATGCCCCCTGCCCCCAGGCAGCAGATCATTTCTTCTGTGAATGTTTCTGGATACAGCTCTGGAAAAGAAGCACTCATTTCAAAAATAATAACCACAATACCCATATACAACGGAAACATTTTAAAGTAACTCCTTAATGTAGGTGGAGTATCCCTTATCCAAGATGCTCGGGACCAAAACTGTTTCGGATTTCAGAGTTCTTCTGATTATGGAATATTTGCATATCCTTTATCAGGGAAGCATCTCTTTTCTGAAAAATCCCAGATCCAAAATGCTTCTAAATCCCAAACACCATGTCAGTGCTCAGAAAGTTTCAGTTGTGTTACTTTTCTGTTACTTTAACAAATACCCAAGATTAATCAATTTATAATGAGGAAAAGGTTAATTTTGGCTCATGGTTTTAGAGGTTGCAGTTCACTCATGATTGAGCAGATCCATTGCCTGAAGACCTTTGGTGGGGAGGCAGCAGATCATGGTAGGAATGTGTGATGTAGCAAGACAGTTGGCCTCATGGCTGGGATCTGAAAGCCACACAGGAGACCCAGGTCCCACCATCCCAAGGGCACATCCCTCTGTGACCTAAAACTTCCCACATAGTGTCACCTCTGGGAGTTTCTACCACCTCCTGATAGGGCCACACTGGGATACAAGCATTTAACACATAAACCTTTGGGGGACATTCTAGATCCAAGCTCTAGGAGTAGGGATGCTCAATGTATATCACCAAATGCCCCCAAAGTATTGTAGCTCCCAGTTCAGGCTGCAAACACGTAGACATCTTACACTTTATTTGAAAGAGATCAAAACCAAAGTCCATATTGGCAATTGGTTGTTTCTCTTTCATCTTTTTACCTTTCCCTGTAATTTATTTATTGAAGAAACAAAGGTCATCTGCCCTGTGGRATTCCCAGTCTGGGTGTTGGTGACTGTCTTCCTGGTGTTGTTTAGAATGTGCCCTGTCCCCTGCATTCCTGTACTTAGGACTTAGCTCTAGAAGATGGAGGAAATTGAGGTGCAAATGTTTTGTGGTGTGACTGATCTGCAGGAGATGCCGTGTCCTTCCCTGGGCGGTGAGGGGGGTGCATGAAATAAATGTCTGTTTATCTCTTTTATGGTGTGAGGAGCTGGTGTTGATCATTGCCTAATCCACTAACTCTCCTATGGTTATAGAAGGAGGTGGTCCAGTATTGTCACTTACTCCTCATTTCTTAGCTGGAATTCTTTCCCAATTGGAGATTTCCCTTCATCTTCTATTTGGTTCACCTCTGGCACAGTGTGAGCAAAGGCTGGATCAACTGATTTTTTTAGTTTCAAGAAAATGAGTTAATTCCCTACTCTCCTCCAAGATGACTCATTATTTGTTTTGTATCATGTGGTCTGTTAACTTAAACAGATTTGTTGTACTCCGCTGCAGCTGCTATCCTTATTGATGCTCTGGTGGCCCATTTGTGGTCAATGGGAACCTCCTCAGGCTGCTTCCTAAATCCTCTGACAGGTTCCAAGAGTCTTGGGTGGCTTCCTTGAATTTGGGCGTGGTGGCTATGGGGTAGGAAGGTGGAATTGTTTAGTTTCTCCCACTCAGTGTCCTCCTGGCAGCAGAGGGGTGAGCTCGTGGTGGGGAGGCTGGCTGGGGCTCACCCCACACCAGGTCCACTAGCTGTGATACAGGAGGGGAAGTCAAGGCCCCCAGGAATTCATGACTCACGATCCCCAGGCCCTGGAGCCTCATTAAGTGCTTCTTGAGCCACAGAGGGCTCAGGGCCAAGCCCTAAGTTTAGCTAGTGATTCTTCCAGGTCCCAGCATACCTCCCTGCACCCGGGAAGGCCTCCTCCTCCCTCCCCACACAGTCCAGAGCATCCGGAGCAGGGCCACTGGAGGGAGGCCGGTGCAGTGGAGAGGGAGGCCAGGCTTGGGTTCTCAGCTCAGAGCTTCCTACTTGTGCCGTAGAGATGATCTCCCCACCCTGTATGTATCTCCCCCATTTTCCAGAGTCAGGGCCTTCCCATGTCACCCAGTCTCTGGCACTAAGCCTCTGGGTTCAAGTAAACCTCTAGCCTCAGCCTCCGAGTAGCTGGGGCAGCAGGGAATGCCACAGTGCTTAGCTTGGCTCCTTTTTGATATAGCTTTCAGTCTTGAAAGCAAAATGGGGAGACAGAACGAGGGGGGGGGCAGAGGCCTGGGGGGGGGGTTACTTTAAAAGGACAGAGTTGCCTGGAAAGAGAGCTGAGGAGCGGGAAAGGCCACTGTGGTCTTGCGCCTTAGGCGGGGACACTGGGCCAGGCTTCCTGGCTGGGTGTGATCCTGCTTCCCTCGCCTGTGCCCAGGGCAGCCTCTGCAAGAAGCTTCCCGGAGCCCTGCCGCCAGGCTGGCTGTGAGGCCAAGGCAGTTCTGGAAACAGTGACCAGCCTGCCCGCCGGGCCCCTAGCAGGGCTCCATTAGTGGCTCCAGTGCTCTCCCGGAGTTAGCATTTTCATTTTCGTGGTCTCAGATGTGCCGCTAGGGAGCATTTCCCTTTGCCAGTCTCCCTGCTGATGGAAGAGGCCTGTAAACAAAGGCGTCCTTAATGAGTGCAGGGGTGGGGTGACCGCAGCCTGTGGGCGGGCAGGGCCTCAGCATGTGGGGCTCCTGGCAGGGGTCCAGCTCAGCCTGCATGCCTGGGTGCCCGGGTACTTGGGCATGGTTTTCTTCTAGAAGGATCTGCTTAGGGTCTGGGTGGGCTCAGCCACACCTGGCTGACCAGCCCCTCCTCCTGACTTGGAGGGGTGAGAAGTTGCCCTTCCCTGCCCACCTCCTGCTGCCCAGGTTACCTCTATCTGCCCTTGTGTGCTTGGGGGACATCCTCTGCTGGCTCTCAGAAGCCCGCCTCCAAAGTAGGACCCCTGGTCCCTCCCCACTGGGGCCCTGCATATACCCATGTTAGCTCGGCTTGTGGCCTGTACGCCTGCCTCTCCTACCAGACTGGAGGACTTTTGAGGGCAGGGACCATGTCTGGTTCCTCTGTCCAGCAAGTGCTGGGCACAGAGTAGTCCACACTGATGAAGAACTCATTCTTTATAAATAGACCCGTGTTTGAATCCTGGCTTCAAACCAGATCTGTGTGCTTACAAAGAATGCGTGTTTTTTCCTGGCTATGTGGTCGTAGACAAGTTACTTGCACTCTCTGAGCCTCAGTTCTCTGATCTGTCAAGTAGGGATGGATAATCGTAGGCTACCCATACGGTTATTGTGAGAATTAAATTGAGGGACTATGGTGGTCTCAGCACAAGGCCTGGTATTTAAATAGTAGATTAATTTCTGAGTCTAAATCAACGTCTGGATTTTTGCTTCAGTCAACACACAAGTATATTCAGGTCACTCTCTGGACCTGGCCCTGGCCAGGTGCTGGGTATATGCAGTGACCAAGAACAGCATGGCCTTGCCCTCAGAGGACTGCTGTTCCTAGTGTCAGTCACTGAATACAAAGTCACTCAGGCATTTAATGTATTTAGCTCAGTAACTGTAAGTATCTAAGAGAAAGTGGCACAGCCGTGGGTCTGATGGATGGGTCCTGACCCTGCCTGGAGTCAGGGAGGGCTTCCTAGAGGAGGAGGATGGAACTGAAGGATGAATGGAGGTCAGGGGGTGAAGAGGCAGAAGAGGAGCAGGTGTAGGACTCCTGCTCAGAGACTGGAGCACAGAGGGCTGGGGCAGCGGTGGGAGCAGAGAAACGAGGCTGAAGGGAGAGGGGGCAGAGTCCATTCAGGAAGTGACACAATCAGGTCAGGGGTGCCGGTGTGTGTGTAGGGGGGGAGGCAGGTGTGGATGCTGGTACAGTGTCCTCAGGACAGGTGATGGGGCTTGGGGCAGGGTGGGATGGGAGGAGGCTGCGCCTGAGCAGCTGGCCCTGATGGAGACCTGCAGAGTGAAGAGGCCAGTGTGGCTGCCAGATTCCGCTCAGGCTGGAGCAGATGTGGCGGGAGACGGAGGAGGCGGGCGGGAGGGAGGGGGAGCCCATCAGATACGCGTGGCCGAGCTGGAGGAGCCCTAGGGAGCCCCAGCCCCGGAGCCTGGAGGAGCAGGGGCTGTGCGGGGGTCTTACCGAGTCCCACCGGGTTCGTGGCGCTGACGGGCGCAGCGCAGGACTCCGCGCCATCCTGGGAGGCACACACCCCGTTCCCCTGGAGCCGGGTGTCCCCTCAATGCGCCCCATCGTGTCTCCACCCAGGTCATCCCAGACTGGAAGGAGCAGGAGTGGGACCCTGAGAAGCCCGACGCCTACGCTGGCATCTTCCACTTCCACTTCTGGCGCTTTGGGGAGTGGGTGGACGTGGTCATTGATGACCGGCTGCCCACAGTCAACAACCAGCTCATCTACTGCCACTCCAACTCCCGCAATGAGTTCTGGTGCGCTCTGGTGGAGAAGGCCTATGCCAAGTAGGTGCCAGAAGAGAGCAGGCTTGGGTGGCCAACTCCCATGGGTGGGCACACAGCGTGCTCAGAGCTCAGAGCCCAGGGCCCTGGGCATGGCCAGCTAGAGCTGCGCTGCTTAGGGTAGAAGCCTGGACCCCAGGAGGGGAGGCATGGCTACCTGGGGGGGGGGCCCTAGAGCCCAGGCAGGTGTTCTGCGTTAGTTGGGGTCAGGGCCAATGCTCACGCTCATAGCAGTGGGTTTCTCAAAGGTGATATGGTGGGACCTTCCCCAGGCGCCTCTGCTGGGAATGTGGTAACCGAGATCCAGCCTGAGTGTGGAGGTTGGGCAGATGCCCTGCTCAGAGGCCTCCCCCTGTCCACTCACCATGACTCTACCTGACTGTCCATCTATACTATTTTTGCTGACCCCTCTTCCTTCTCTGTGCCAGACTCTGTGTCCCCCCAGGACAGGGCCTCACACAGAATGTGCATGAACAAAAGTTTGCCGAGCTATAGAGGGCTTTGGAGCAGAGTGACCTGTCCAGGCCTTTGCAGCACTGGGGTGGGCCTGGACAGGAGTGTCGGGGCCAGAGACCAGGCAAGCCAGATTGGTGGGAGCCGGTCCCTGGTTCCTCCTCCCAGACCCATGTGTCAGTCTCCTAACAGAAGAGGGGAAGAGAGGGAGAGTCCAAGGAAAGGAAGAAGGGAGGAAAAGGAAAAAACTAACAGTAAAAACAAATCCAAGAGAACAACCCTGGCAGGTTCCATTTTTAATCTTAAGAAAGCAAAGCCTGCCCCCTGGTGGCCACTGAGTCTCCACCATGGGTGTTGCCCTTCTGGAGAGAAGGCTCTGGTCTTACTCTTGTGGTTTTTTGTTTTGTTTTTAATATATTTTTTAATTGTAGATGGACACAATACCTTTATTTAATTTTTTTATTTTTATGTGGTGCTGAGGATCGAACCTAGTGCTTCACACATGTGAGGCGAGCGCTCTACCACTGAGCCACAACCCCAGCCAGCCCTTGCTCTTGGGTTTTGGGTTTTTATAAAATTTTGTATTTATCATTGTTTCCTTCCTCCATTTTTCCCTCCCTCTTTCCGTCACTCCCTCCCTCCCTCTGCCCCTTCCCTTCTTGACAGAGTCTTGCCATGTTGCCCAGGTTGATCTCAAACTCCTGGGCTTAAGCAATCTTCCTGCTTTAGCCTCCCAAGTGGATGAGGCTGCTGGGGTGTCACCATGCCTGGCTTGCTTTTATTTTTTTAATAAGCAGTTTTGTAGTAAAATAAACCCAACACAACATTTCTCATTTTCATCGTGTGTACGCCCACAGTTCAGTGGCATGCAACGAACTCACCACGGTCTACACCAGAAACTTTTTATTATCCCTAATGAAAACTCTTACACATCGAACAGTAGCTTCCTCCTTCTCCTCCCCCAGTCCCAGGGGACCTCTGTTCTGCTTTCTGTCTCTATGAACTTGCCCTATTCTAGGTTCCTGGTGTAAGTGGAGTGCTGTATTAGCCCCTCTGTGTCTGGCATCTTCTATAAAGCACCATGTTTTCAAGGTCCATCCGTGTTATAGCAGATATCAAAGGTTCCTTTCTCTTAACGGCTGAGTGACAGTCTCTACTTGAATACATCACATTTTGTTTCTCCATTTGTCCATTGGACTCCTGGCCTGCTTCCACCTTCGGCTCTTATGCATAGTGCTGCCGTGAACATGGGTGTGTCCGTGTGAATCTCTGCTTTCGCTTCTTTTGAGCACACACCTAGGAGTGAATTACAGGGCAATTATGTTTAACTTTTTGAGAAATGACCAAACTGTTTTCCACAGTGGCTGCATACTTTGTGCTTGCTTATTTTTTTACATTTACTTTTTAAAAACACTTTTTTTTTTGGTAGTTGAAGATGGACAGCATGCCTTTATTTTATTTGTTTATTTTTATGTGGTGCTAAGGATGGAATCCAGTGCCTCACACATGCGAGGCAAACACTCTGCTACTGAGCCCCAGCCCCAGCCCACATTTACTTTTTAAATTATAAAATGAAAGATTTGTAGAAAGATCAGCCCCTGCCTTCCCCTTCCCTGTTTTGGTCTGAGTTAACGAAGAGCATCACCATTGTAGCTTGGCCCCTGTCCTACTCTGTCACCATTTACCCTCTTTCCTACTGGGCCTCTCCCTTCCCCTCTTCCCCTCCCCCACCAATGGCAACTCTTTCAACTTTTTTCTTTTTTGGTGATACTTTTTAAAAAATTTTATTTGTTCTTTTTAGTTATACATGACAGTACAGCGTATTTTGACATATTATACATAGGGGAGTATAACTTATTCTAATTGGGATCCCATTCTTGTGGTTGTACATGATGTGGAGTTACCCTGATCACATATTGAAATACAAGGCTGGGAAAGTTGTGTCCAGTTAATTCTACTGTCCTTCCTAATCTCCTCCCCCTCCCTTCCCTTTGTCTAATCTAGTAAACTTCTATTCTCCTTCCTACCCTCCCTTGTTATTGGTTAGCATCCACATATCAGAGAGAACATTTGGCCTTTAGTTTTGGGGAATTGGTTTATTTCACTTAGCCTGATAGTCTCCAGTTCCATCCATTTACTGGTGAATGCCATAATTTCATTCTTTTTTATGACTGGGTAATATTCCATTGAGCATATATGCCACATTTTCTTTTTCCATTTATCTGTTGAAGGACACCTAGGTTGGTTCCATAGCTTGGCTCTTGTGAATTGAGCTGCTGTAAAACTGATGTGGCTTTAACTTTTTTTTTTTTTTAAGAAAAAAGGGGGGCGGGGCTGGGAATCAAACCCAGGCCTTATGCATACCTCCAGCCTCTTTCAACATCTGTGAGACATTTTTGTTTGTGGGTGACCTTATAAAAACCATGTTTCGGGGGTGGGGGTTGTTGTTTTTGTTTGTTTCTTTCTTTCTTTGTAGTGCTGGAAATTGAATCCAGGGTCCTGTGCATGCTAAGTGTTGCTGTTTTGTGTGTATATATTTTCAATTTCCATCAACAGTATATGTTATATATCTCTTTCTGCTTCTGAGTTTTCATTCAGAGTTTCTTTTTTTTTTTTTTTTAATCCCAGGAAATGGGACTTAGGTCCCTCTGATTTTATGGTTTGTCCTTCCTGGCTAATAAGTGTTGTTGTTGTTTTTTTTTTTTTTTAAGTGAATCATGGTATACTTAAAACCACAATTGGAATTCACTTGCATTGATTTTCAAATGTACCAAGCAAGCGCTAGCATTTCCCAACCTCAGGAATTCTGTACATTTTCCACAGCTGCTTCATGTTCCAGAGTATGGGTACAGCTTTAGTTTTTAAAATCAATTCCCCATTGTTAGGTATTGAGGTTATTTCTGCTTTTATATCATTATAAATCATGTCACTTATCCAGAATTGGGGTGTCAAAAGGTATATGAGCCTTTAATGCTTTTGAAATGAATGGCTAGGTTTTGGGACATCTGATCTGTGAAGCTGGAGCTGCTAAGTCCTGGGGAAATTTGAGTGGAAATTGACGTGGTTCACTGGGAGTCGGGTCTGGGTTCTAGTGTTGGCTATGCTGTGGCCTACTGTGTGACCGTAGCAGTTTGCTTGAGCTCTCTGAGGTTCAAAACTCTCCCCTACAAGGTGAAGGGTGTAGCCCAGCTGGGATGCACTGGGAATTCTTGCTCACTGCTCCCCAGGCTGGCGGGCTGTTACCAGGCCCTGGACGGAGGCAACACAGCAGATGCACTGGTGGACTTCACGGGCGGCGTTTCTGAGCCCATCGACCTGACGGAGGGGGACTTCGCCAATGACGAGGCCAAGAGGAACCAGCTCTTTGAGCGTGTGTTGAAGGTGCACAGCCGGGGAGGCCTCATCAGTGCCTCCATCAAGGTGAGAGCCCAGAGCAGACCTCCATGTCACCAACCCTGACTGGGACGGGAGGTGGCCGTGAGGACAAACTGGCTCTAGAAACCTAGAAGGCCCTGACTTGTAGCGTTTTCTGGTTGAGGTGTGTAAATATTTCCACCAGGGTTAATTTCCAGTTACCGGTGTTTTAACAGTCAATTCTCAAAACCTCTGCCTATTTCTGGGTGTGGTGGCACACACCTGTAATCCCAGCTACTTGAGAGGCAGATGCAGACAGGAGAATCACAAGTTCAAGGGCAGCCTTGGCAATGTAGAAAGACCCTATCTCAAAATAAAAAGGAGGGCTGGGGATGTGGCTCAGGGATAGAACACCCCCAGCTCCATCCCCAGTACCATAGAAAGAAAAAAGAAAAACCCTGAATATTTAATGATCAGCTGAGCCAGGGTGAATCAGCTTCTGCCCTCCCTGGGCTGGCCCCACTGCAGACACCTTCCTTTACGAGAGACTGCTGCCTAAAGCTCTGAACACCCCACCACTCCGTCACCACCCAACCAGGTCTGCCTGTACGGGAGGGTGCAGTTCCTGTACCGGCCTGGAGGGGGCGGTGCGGCCTCCTTGCTCTGGTTCCTGGGCCTTTGCCCCCCTGGGTTCGGCTTCCAGCCTGGCCCCACCTGTCTGAGCACCTGTGTCTTCCTGCAGGCTGTTACAGCAGCCGACATGGAGGCACGCCTGGCGTGCGGCCTGGTGAAGGGTCATGCTTATGCTGTCACCGACGTCCGCAAGGTGCGCCTGGGCCATGGCCTGCTGGCCTTTTTCAAGTCAGAGAAGCTGGACATGATCCGCCTACGCAACCCCTGGGGCGAGCGGGAGTGGAATGGTCCCTGGAGTGACACGTGAGGCCTGGGGATGGGCACCACGGGCATGAGAGTTTGGGCAGGGATGGGGTGGGCTCCATGGGGGTGCTGATACTGGACCTGGGCCTTGAAGGGTCTGGGGGAGGATGAAATTAGAAAAGACTTCCTTTGGAGTGTTTGTGGGGCAGTGGATTCAGCAAGGACAGAGGCCTGGAGGACAGCTGACCTATAAGGACATAGTGACCAGTGTGGTGAGTGGGTTGGGAAGGAGGGTAAGCTGACAGTGAACGGGGTTGATGCTCTGTGCTTGTTCACGGCCATGAGGCCTGGAGTGGAGTAGGTGAGGCCCCGCATAGTGACAGGTCACGTCCCCTCCCTCCCTGTCTGCGGCTTTCCTTCCTGTCCTCCCAGCCCTAGCATGATCACAGCCCATGGGAGAGGGCAGACAGGGCTTCTCTGAGCAGGGCCCCAGGGGTCCCTCACCACACTGCACTGAGGGTGGCCTCACGCTGAGCTGTCCCTTGGGGTGGTTCTGGTGGGGCCCGTCCTCTTATTCTGCTCCCTTCCTTCCTGGCACTCACATCCCAGCTCAGAAGAATGGCAGAAAGTGAGCAAGAGTGAGCGGGAAAAGATGGGTGTGACCGTGCAGGACGATGGCGAGTTCTGGTGAGTGTGCTGGTGCCTGGCACCTGGGTCAAGGGGACCACCTGGACCTGGCAAGGAACACCTGGTGGTGGGGGGGTTGGCTGCCAGGGCTCCAGCACAGCCCCATCAGAAGCTTGCTGTGTGGCTTGGGACAAGTCACACCATCTCTCTGAGCCTCAGTTTCCTCCACTGTATAATGAATTGGGCGGCAATGAGCCCTTTATCCCTGCAGTCCCCTCTGCCCACCTGAGGGACCCCGGGCTGCTCTTGGCAAGCAGGTTGAGGCACCAGCAGGTGGGGGACTGAGCACAGGGGCACGCTGTGGTAGCCTGAGTGCTCAGAGTAGGGAGGGAAGAGGAGAGGCCTCGCAGAGGAGCTGACTCCTGAGCTGAGATTTGGGTACAGAGTAACCTTTGATGGTTGAGGAGAGAGACATGCCCCAGAGGTGAGAGGGCCCACCTCTCAAATTCGGGACGAATTCAGAGGAGAGAGCAGCGGGTGTCTGGCGTGGCTGGGAAGACAACGGAAGCCTAGACCGAGGAGCGTGGGCGCCACCGCTGCCTTCATTCCCCTGTGTCCTGCCCCGACTCTGCCAGGCTGTGTTGTTCTTCAACAGAACACCTGGTTTGTTGGGGCTGGGGATGTAGCTCAGTTGGTAGAGTGCTTGCCTTGCATGCACAAGGCCCTGGGTTCAATCCCCAGCATCACCAAAAAAACACCTGGTTTGGGAATTTAGCCCCTCTTGGAGACATATGGGTTGCCCACTGCGATGTGGGTGCCATGAGGCCTCCTAGGCAGACCAGGGGCAGAGGGCAGTGATCCTGGCACCCCATCGAGGACCCTCCTACAGATGCCAGGGGAGCTGCTGCCCGAGTCCACCCAGGGCCTTCATTCTGTTCTCCTGTGGACAAGATCTGCTTTGTTCAGTCTGGCTCAGGGGTCAGTCGAGCCCTTGGCCTGTGGAAAGGACTCCTGTTAAGGCCCTTCTCTCTGCACTTCCCCTGGCCCCGCCCAGGCTCCTGGAGGTGTGCATAGCACAAGGTGCCTATAGCAATGTCCTGGCCACAGTCACCCACCTACCGTGGGGTGCCCACCACCGCTTTATTGAGGCTTCCTAGCTGATGTACAATACAATGGATGGAAACCAGCTTTATACACTGCAGAGGGCAGTACTCAGTTATCCATCCTCTGTATGTGTACAGCTATACAGCCGGCCTTTGCCAGCTACTCCGTTAGAGTTTGTATGCCAGCTGTTATTGCTGTACTTGACTTCTGCACTAGCCCTGTGAGGCGCCTGCTGGTAGATTCAGCCCCATTTTACAAACGAGGAGACCATTCTCTGCAGGAGGCCATGCCCTACGTGAGCCGTGGTTTAGAGCATAAAGGGTGGGCAGGCAGGAGGGCCTGGGGGCTGCCTGGCTCAGCCCCTTCCTCACCCAGGATGACCTTCGAGGACCTGTGCCGCTACTTCACCGACATCATCAAGTGCCGCCTGCTCAACACATCCTACCTGAGCATCCACAAGACGTGGGAGGAGGCCCGCCTGCGCGGCGCCTGGACTCGGCACGAGGACCCTCGGCAGAACCGCAGCGGGGGCTGCATCAACCACAAGGACACCTTCTTCCAGAACCCGCAGGTGGGCATCCCCAGGGATCTCACCCTGCCTCTGCAGCAACTGCAGCACCCCCCCCCCGCTGTCCCTCCAGGGGCTCCTGCATGACCTCAGGTACATCTCTACCCCTCCTTGGGTCTTGGCATACCTGTGTGTACAGTAGACGGTCGCAGCAGTCCCAGCTGGCTGTCACGAAGCCCTACCTGACCTGCAGACAGTAAAAATGAGGAAACTGTGACTCAGGGACTTCTGAGTGTCTGGTCATTTAGGACATTTAGTGGTGGAGCTGAGGATCAGCGCGTGGTTTCATGGTAGCATAGTCGTGCCTGTTCTTGGGGAACTTGGCCGGGCTCAGCTCCCCGGCAGCAGCCTCTGCCCTGCGGCTTCCTCACTCACAGCCTGTGAGCACTGCTCAGCCCTGGGAATCAGTGTGCCTTTATTGAGCATCAACTCAGTGTGCCTTTATTGAGCTGGGCCTTCACGCAGAGTAGCCATTGTAGGTGTGGGCAGGCCCATGTCACAGAGGAGGGACGCAGCGGCTCAGAGAGGTGATGGGACTGGCCCAAGCTGATGCAGCCAAAGTGTCTGGTCCTGGTTCAGGAACCCATTCACCCCGGAGCCAACAGGGTGACTGTCTCTCCTTGGCCATCCCTGCAGTACATCTTTGAGGTCAGGAAGCCGGAAGATGAGGTGCTGGTGTGTCTCCAGCAGCAGCCGAAGCGGTCTACCCGCCAGGAGGGCAAGGGCGAGAACCTGGCCATTGGCTTTGACATCTACAAGGTGAGGCCAGCTGGACCCCTGCTGAGGGTGAGGGGAGCACGGGAGAATTTGGTTTGCCTGTGCCTGGGACTAGAGCACCTCAGTCTCTGACAGCACCCCAGCTGCTCCGTGACATCATGGGGATACAGTGGTGTGGGCCCCGCCAGGGCGTGGCTTCTGTGGGAGCTCCCAAGACCACAGGCCCAGGGGAGGGAGGGGAGGACCGGGGCTGGGGCTGGGCTCTGAGGGCTGCTGCCCTTCCTCAGAGCTCAGAGCCTTCTCCTGGGACCTCCGTGTGTCAGAAACCGTGCCAGGACAGGTAGGAGCATACTTGAGATGAGCCAGGTGGGCTCACTGTGGCCACTCCCCCCAACCTGGAAGCTGAGGCCATCCACGTGTGAGGCCCAGTGTGTGGTGACAGGTGGCAGAGTGGGATCCATGTCCTTGTCAGACCCCATGAACTTGATGAAACCACATGGGTGTGCTGGGTCCCTGGCCTTCAGTGTGTTCAGTCACATCGAGGCGATCTGTTCACATCATTGTACTGCATTCGCCACAGGCTGGCCTGTTGTGACACCGTGACCTTGACATGTCACGGCCTTCACTAAGGTGGTCACGGCATGTTGTGGCACTTACTCTAGGACTTGCCTAGCATGTCATTTCATAGATTTGTGCCATGGTTTGGGCGGGCCATGGTACAGTAGTCCCCTCCTCCATGGCGGGTAGGTCCCAGACCCCCACCCCGTGGATGCCTGAAGCTGCAGACAGTACCAAGTCCTATGCACTGCAGTGTCACCAAGACGACCACTAAGTCATTGGTGCATAGATATGCTGGAAAAAGCCTAATCCTTGCCCTGAGGGGTGAAAGGAGCTAGTGGGAGATTTCACCACACTATTCAGAACAGCAAGAGATTTTAAATTTCTGAATTGTTTATTTCTGGAATTTTCCATTTAATTTTTTCAGCATATAGTTGACTATAAGTAACTGAAACAGTGGAAAACAGAATCATGGATATGGGGGACTGCCGTACCTGATCCTAGTATAACAGTGAGAAACTCCAAGGGACTTGTTATTAGGGGGTTCCTTATGATCCGCTTTCTTTGTGGTATTTGGGATTGAGCCCAGGAGTGCTCTGCTACCAAGCTACATCCCAGCCCTTTTTACTTTTTACTTTGCGACCAGATCTCACTAGGTTGCTGAGGCTGGTCTTGAACTTGCAGTCCTCCTGCAGTCCAAAACAGCTGTGATTACAGTCATGTCCCACTGCTTTAACTCCTTGCCTTCAGTTTTGTTTTTTTGTTTTTTGTTTTTTTTTGTACCAGGATTGAACCCAGGGGCACTTAACCACCAAGCCATATCCCCAGCTCTCTTTATATTTTATTTAGAGACAAGGTCTTGCTAAGTTGCTTGGGGGCCTCGCTAAGTTGCTGGGGCTGGCTTTGAACTCATGATTCTCCTATCTCAGCCTCCAGAGCCTCTGGGAACACAGGCGTGCACCCGGTGCCCTTTGTCTTTAATAGCTTTTATTAAAATACAATTCATAGACCATCCAATTTACCTATTCAGAGTATATGATCTAGAGACTTTGGGTGTGGTTACAGAGTTAGAAACCACAATTTTAGAACATTTTCATTCCTGAAAAATGAAACCCCTCACCCAATCCTAGGACCTGCTTCCCCTCAGCTTAGGCAAAACCCTAATCCACTTCTTTATAAGATTAGCCCATTTTGGAATTTCACACGCATGGGTTCCATTGTCCTTTCCTGGTGGCGAGGGGACATGGGGAGGGCTGGGTATGCCAGGTGGCACAGTGGCCAGCCCCTCCTGTGTCCGCAGGTGGAGGAGAACCGCCATTACCGCATGCACAGCCTGCAGCACAAGGCCGCCAGCTCCATCTACATCAACTCGCGCAGCGTCTTCTTGCGCACGGACCAGCCCGAGGGCCGCTACGTCATCATCCCCACCACCTTTGAGCCAGGCCACACTGGCGAGTTCCTGCTCAGAGTCTTCACGGACGTGCCCTCCAACTGCCGGTGCGCAGGGACTGCAGTGGGCCAGGGTTGCGGGGTGACAGTCCATGCCAGGCTGAGCAGAGTCTGCAGTCCCAGGGGCACTTGAGGTCTGCCCAAGGTGTGGAGCCTGGGCATCCAGCCTCCCTGGGCTGACCGCCTGCCCATCCCCTGGCCCTTCTCCCCTTCCCCATGTCTGTCCTGGCCTCTCGGGCACCACCAGCAACAGCAGCTCCTGTGTGYGCTGCACTTCCCAGTTACAAAGAAGCTTCCACTCACCTCATTTGATCTTCCCACACCCCCAAGTAGGGGGCCTGGCCACTCTGTTTTACAAATGAAAACAGGGATCATCGTTAGAAAGGTGCCCGAGGTCATGCCGAGGTGTGGTCATGTCAGGCTGGCCCACTACCCAGCCTGATTCTAGCCTTGTGGCCTTTCTCCCCTCCCTGAGGGAGCTGGCTCTGGGGATCAGGGACTGCCGAAACCACCCCTGTCCCTGTGGGAGAGCAGACCTTGTGTATCCTCCACTAACCTCGCCACCTTGTCATGCAGTCCAGACTCACTGTCCCCAGGAGAGGGCCCTGCCCACATCCCAGCCCCAGGCAGCAGCTCCCCGTGTGGTCTTAGATGACCCCAGGCCTTGCCAGCCCCTGCTCCACCGCTTTCCAGTGTGTGGGAAGGGGCTTTCCCCTGGGGCTTTCCCCTGGGGAAGCCTGGTGCTTCCCCACCTATAAAAATGGACAAATAACAGTCTTGTGTGTCCCCAGACTTTTTGAGGATTAGAAATGACACCACCTATGTCACCCAGCAGAGGGCCTGGCACTCAGTAGTAGGTGCTCATAAAATTATTCCCCTCTCCCTACCAATGGGATGGGTGCCCTGGATAGGGATAGAGAAGGCAGGAAGCCCTGAGCTTGGGTGGCTCGTTCTGCCCATAGAGAAGGACCCAGGACTAAATGAATGTCTGTATTAAACCCTCCTCTCCGCTTGCTCACTCTGAACCCCCTTCTCACTGTCTCCCCGGGCCTCTTTGTCCTTCCTGGATTAGAGAACTGCGCCATGATGAGCCCCCCCGCACCTGCTGGAGCTCCCTGTGTGGCTACCCCCAGCAGGTGACCCAGGTACATGTCCTGGGGGCTGCTGGCCTCAAGGACTCCCAGACAGGTGAGCTCGCCCAGGGAAAGGTCTGTGTCTCCCCCCTGGCAGTTGCCCCAGGCCCTCTCCTTTCTCAGCCTCTAGAACTCTCTTCTGACACTCAGCTGGTCAGCAGACCTTTCCTCACACCCACTGCAGGCCAGCCATTGCTGGGGGATCCTGGCTCAGAGAGGAGTAAGGCTGCTTCTTGCTCCCAGAGTCTTCCTGGGTGGTAGGGAAGTCAGATGCTGGGACAGAGAGCTGGTAGGGAGGGCTCAGGGAAGGTGACCTGGAGGCTCGTGGAGGTACTATGGTAGGAAGCTTGAGACGAGAGAACCTCATGGATAAGGCCAGACATGGCCAGGGCCCTCCTGCCATCTGCCAGTGTCTGGAAGTTAAGGTTCCCTGGGGTGGGCCAGGCTCTGCTCTCCCCTTCTGAATGCCTGAGCCCAGGGAGGCACTTCACCTCCCAGACATCTGTCCTACCGGGGCCCTGCTCCAGCCTCCACCTTCACCCCAGCTCCCCCTCCCCCTCCCTAGGGGCTAACTCTTACGTGATCATCAAGTGTGAAGGGGACAAAGTCCGCTCAACTGTGCAGAAAGGGACCTCCACACCTGAGTACAATGTGAAAGGAGTCTTCTACCGCAAGAAGCCAAGCCAGCCCATCACTGTGCAGGTGAGCCCACCTGCCCACAGGCTCCAGGGCAGAAGACCTTTGCTGGATTCTGGTTCTCCATCTGTCCCTGCCTCCCCAGGTGGCCTTGGCATTCCCTTGGCTGCCCCTCCTGGTCACCCTCAGTAGGTGGGCCAGTTGTTTTAGCCAATGCAATCCCAAGACCCAGCAGGGTCAGTCTCTCGGCTGTGGACAGTGGTCATCTCTGATAACCTCGCCCATGGCCTCATAGCTATTCTTAGATTCCCCTGTAGTGGCTCCACCTGGGAAAGCGGCTGGAGACCAGTGTGGCTGTTTCCTAAGAGCTCTGAGCAAGGGTGGGAAAGCCAGTGTCCTTGGAAGGCCTTCCCACCCCTCTCAGGCTGGAACGTGATGATTTTGAGATCATTACCAGGAAGTTCTGTATCCCCCCAGGCTCAGAACAGCATCTCTCTGGGTGAAAAAACTCTGTGAACAAATGCTGGGGTACCCCYGGAGAGCCCCAGTAGATTTTCTAAGTTTTCTTAACATTGGGTCCCACTGGATCAAATCAGACTCATAGATATTGGAGTGGAAAGGACTCGACCCTCATATTGACCCTCATATTAAAGATGGGGAAACTAGCCGGGCACTGTGGTACACACCTGTAATCCCAGCAGCTAGGGAGACTGAGGCAGGAGGATCGGGAGTTCAAAGCCAGCCTCAGCAAAAGTGAGGCCCTAAGCAACTCAGTGAGATCCTGTCTCTAAATAAAATACAAAATAGGGCTGGGAATGTGGCCCAGTGGTTGAGTGCTCCTGAGCTCAATCCTGGGTAGCCCGTCCCCCCCCACCAAAAAAAAAAATGATGGGAAAACTAGAGCAGAGGGTGTATCACTTGTCCAAGTTCATCCTAGGTCAGCAGCAGAGCTAATAAGAACAGATATGACTTTATAGGTGGAAGAGCAGTTTGAGAGACGGGGAGCCTGAGACTCTGGATGGGGCATGCCCTTGGCCAAGGCAGACCACCCAGGGCTCCTTGGCCAGGCTTGCACTGCGGGAAGTGAGTTTGAGACCTAGCGGTCACCACCAGCACCTACCATAGACAATATGGCTCCTACCATAATCTTCTGTCTCCTCCCAGATCTGGAACCACCGAGTCCTGAAGGATGAATTCTTGGGCCAGGTGCACCTGAAGGCTGACCCGGATGACCTCCAGGCCCTGCACACCCTCCACCTCCGAGACCGCAGCAGCCGGCAGCCGAGCGACTTGCCAGGCACCGTGGCTGTGTACGTCCTCAGCAGTGCCTCCCTCACAGCTGTCTGATGCCTGCCCATCTACCGGCCCCAACAGTCTCACCACCACCTGCATGTCCCCACCAGACTTGGGACCAGCCTGGGAGCCAGATGCTGGGGTCCTTTTCCACTCTTTTACTGACTTGGTGTGTGACTTTGGTAGATCTCTACCCTTCTCTGGACCTCAGTGTCCTGAGGGCCCCAAAGCATTCCCTCCTTGTTGGGGAGTCCCCTCCCCACCCCAGCTGTCACCACTGCTAAAGGACTCTATCCGTTGAAAACATTTTCCCCAGGCTCTGCTGTCTGCCGAGGAGTGCCAAGAAGATGTCACTTGTTTACACACAAATTGCCATGTCCCCAAGCCCCATGTGTCCTGCCCCTTGTTTCCCAGGCCCACCTCAGTCTCCCAGAATTCACTTTTTCTGTCACCTACACTTGATTTCCAAGCTACTTTGAAAGAGCGCTTGCTAGGCACTTGCTGGGGTTCTGCTCAGGCTGGAATTTGGGACATGTGCAGGTGATTCCTGTTCGTTCTCTGATCCTGTTCACTCAGCCATCCATCCCCCGCCCCAAATGAAGAAGCAACGCTCACAAGTCAACAGGTGAAGGGAACCACCCAGCCCCCACCTTGGGCCTCTGTCTTCAGGTCCCCCAGAGGCAGAAGCCCAGGCAGGCTGCAGCTATCTTCTCATTCCAGGTTCTGATCCACTCTCAGCCCCTGGTTTGAGGCAGTGGCCCTCGTGGGAAGTAAAGGGCACCTTCCTGAGTCCCCTGCCTGGTGTTGGAAGGAATGAGCCCCGTTAGTGGGCCAGGCAGGCAGCGCGGCTCTGGGGACCCAGAGGGAGGCACAGGCTCCCCTTGCTGCAAGACCCCAGCTTCCCGTAGGAGAAAGGACTCCAGGGTGGGAGGTGCCAGGCCTGCTGGGGTCAGGTCACCTATTGGGCATGGCAGGAGACAGGTGACTCCATTGCCTCCCCAGAAGCTCTCCACCCACATCTTCCCCCAACAGCTAATGGGGCCACAGTGCTCCTCTTACTGCCTGGACCAAAATGTTTCTTTTAGTGTTCTCTGTATTTAAAAAAAAAAAAAAAAAAAAGATCTCAGTTTTAACCAGGGGGGGTTAAAGGAGATTCTGGATCCCCCTTTCTTTTGATACCAGTTTTGCTCACCCTCTAATTTTATTTTGATTCCACCCGGGCAGGGACATGGGCGAAGTCAGGCCTTCTCAGAGGAGGTCTGCAGGAGGGTGAGGAAGAGGGTGTTTGTACTTGGGTGACTGCAGGCTGGCGCTGTGTTCTTGGAGAACTTCTGTGAAGTGCTGGTGCCGTGACCCACTGTACCCTCCTTGGACTTTGGACCAGGCAAAGCAAATGGAAAGTCCAGCTGGCCCCAGGACAGCAGTTCCTTTAGGAACCTGAATTTTCTACTCCAGAGTTCACTGTTCAGTCCAGTGTTCTGGCTGGAGGTGCTGGATTCTCTGATATTGCCACCTTGCTCTGGGGCTGGCTCTGCTCCTGGGTCCCGCCCTGGAATTGAAAGACCTAGAGGACCCAGGGCTGGAACTGTGCATGTGACCAGGAGCAAGTCACTTAAACCTCCTGTGCCTCTGATCTCTCCCTCTGCAAAATGGGGCCAATGATTCCTATTTGTCAGCACCCACAGGGCTAAACAAGGGCAAAGCAACCCCTTTCTCTATGTATCTCTGTATGCAACACACTATATTTTCCTGTAATCACCGCTTCTTGTCTGTTTCAAATTAAGATTCCTGAGTCAGGTATGCCAGCTTGGGCCTCTGGGGCTGACCCGTGGGTCTTTGCTCAGCCATAATCCCCTAGGTATAGGGGCAAACTGGGACCAAGTGGCTGATTTGTGTAGGTTTCAGCCTGGGGGCTGATCCTGGCCTCCCACCTACAGCAGAACTGGAACAGCAGCCCCTCCCCTCGAGGTGGGCCAGGCTGGTTCCTGGCTGTGCAGGGATCTCTGATCCCCAGGAAGGTGTGGGGTCCGAACAGGTGAGAATAGATGGTGGATCAGGGAGAGCAATTCACCCATGCGCCCAGGAGAGCCTCAGAGTCGGCATTCACAGATGGGCAGGGCTTCCAGCCCACACCAGCCAGACCTGGGCTTCAGTCCTTCTGGGGCCCACTGCCAGGCTGGGGGAGAGGAGGCCTGTTCTGTTCTCAGAATAAATGTTTCTGCAATCCAGAAATATCTTCTTGTGTCTGTCTTTCCCCCTCTGCAGGGGATGATACAATGGGTGACTGTCCTCTGGTCAGCAGGATAAGCCTACAGCCAGTCAGTGCTGTTGGCTTTACAAGCCTCACCCTGGGGACACAGGGAGACAGTCCGTGCTCTGGAAGATGGATCTCCAATCACGACAAACACTGTAGGAAGATTGCTAGGCAGTGTGGGACTTCCCAGGGGGCTCCTTTCGCCTGCTAGGTCAAGCAGGCCCAAGCCCTGATACAGGGGTGCAGAGGCAGCCGCACCAAGGACACCATTAAAGGGCTTGTGAGGCCCAGGTGGATGTGGGAGACCAGGCAGACCTGTGGAGGGACCAAAGCTGCAGCTGGAGCTGGGAAGCTGGGGCCTGGCTCCCCTCCAGGGGTCTTGCTTCCCTGGCTCTGTGGCCGTGGAGACTTCGTCCAGCAGGTGGTGCTGTTGGGCCATCGGGCCCCCACAGGCCCCCACCCACCCATGGTTGGTTTCCCTGCAGATGTACCCCAGGTATGGAGCCTAGGGAGACAAAAGTGCCCCTCCCTCTCTGGGGCCCAGAGCTATAGGCCAAGGGTGGCAAAGACAAAGGGCCAAGTCTCAAGAAGTCATCCTCCTCCCAGCCCCGGGCTGCACAATGCTAATAACAGGCTTTATGCCCTTCTTTGTCCTCAGTCCCTTTCAAATCACACACTTTACCTCCCTTGGTATGTGTTCCTGGTGCACTGGGGTTGCCCCAAGTTGTCTGGTTCACAAAGTTTCTGGATGACTGTGGAATAATGTGCACCCCACCCCCCCAGAACATGTTGTGGGGCTGTGTTGAGTTGGTGAGCTTCAGGAGGTGGCGTCTGAGCCCAACCTCGGGAGGTGGGTCTGGGGCGCGGGCCAGTGTGTCTGGGAGCGGGTGCCAAGTGCTGGGCTAGCTAGGACCCACCTCCTGCCATGGGCTGCCTGCCCCTGTGCTGTGGGAGTCTCACCCAGCCACCTTAGGAGATGGTGGGCTTGCAGGGAGGCAGGTGCACCTGAGCTGCCAGCAGTCAGCGACCAAGACCAGAACAGACTTCCTGCCCTCGTGCCAAGTCAGCAGGTAGCAGGTTTGGGCAAATGACAGAGGCACCTGAGGCCAGGAAGGGTGGGGGCCTGGGTCCCACAGGTCTGCCCAGGGCTCTGCACAGAGCCCTGGACAGCCTCTGGACATTAGTCCCAGCACAGCCCATCCCCCACGCTGATGTCACCACACCCAGACCTTGGAGGCCCCCTCCGGCTCCGCCTCCTAGGAGAAGGCTCTGGAGTGAGAAAGGAGGGTGGCAGTGCTGGCTGGACAGCCTCCCTGGGCAGAGAGAAGGGCGAAGAGAGACCAGAGAGAGTCGGAAAGACCCAGAGTGACACCCACAGCGGGCCTCGGAGTAAGACAGGCAGGGCAGCGTGTCTGCAGGCCAGTTACGCTTGTGCCCTGCTTCCTGAGTCCTCTGTGCCTGTGGCAGCAGCACCCAAGCCGGTGGGGTGCTGAGAGTGTGCTTCTGGGACCCAGGTAAGGCTGGGTTGCTCCCGGGCATGGGGAGAGGGAGCTTAGAAGAGTCCTGGGTAGGGGCTTCCTCTGGAACCCCTGCCCCCATAGCCCCTTGCTCCTGGGCTTCCTGCCACCCACAGGGGTGCCTCCACAGCAGTCCTTGAATGAAATTGTCCTAAGCCTGGAAAGAAGGAGGCTTAAACCCTGGAGAAGGGAAGAGCCGAGCGCATAGTATCTGCTGAATTGTTGCTGAGCAGGAGCTGGGGTGGGGGGCGTCCTGGAGCAGACATGCTCTGTCCTTGGATAAGTCACTTCCTATTTCTGCCTCAAATTTCCTATCTGTGACATGGGGGTCTGAAGCCCATCAGCCAGGACTGTCCTGGGGAGAAGGCAAAATGGAGCATGGGCTTAGAAATATAAATGCCATCTGTGTTTCCTATCATCAATTTGAAAAGCAATGAGCTTGAACAGGGTCTAGTTCCCATTTTTAGAAATAAATCATATATCTCATAGTTTCTCCTACTGTGTGGGCCCTAAGTTCTACACCCTCACCAGCCTCCATGGTCCCGTATCTTTTGTAACAACTCTGATCTGCCCCTGGTTGTCCTGGCTCATGCTGGCCTTGGATGCTGGCAAGTGACCTGGGAGTCCTCTTCAGACATAGCTCCCCATGGCAGCTACCTGCGGGCCCTTGTTGAATTCACTTCCCTACTGGTACCCAGGCTAGTGCTGGTCTCCAGATGGACTGTGTGCCCACTGAGACCAGGACTCAGCACAGGGGTCAGGGCTCAGGTGTCAGGCAGTGTCATGGGCAGAGGATCAAATGCCCCGGCGCCTCTGAATGGGTCCTTGTGAAAAATTGATGTTCATCCTGAAGGACAGGTCTGGGGCCATCAGGGCCTCTTGCCAGGGCCCATGGGCCAGGGCTTTAAGAGCTACACCTAGTCCCAGGAGTCCTTCCCAAGCCCAAATCTGAGCCCAGCCCTGTGCTGGCCAAGGCTAGAGATAGGGGATGGCTCAGACTCAGGCCACACCCTGTGCCGAATCAAATCCCCAGCTTTCAGGGCAGAGGTGGGGACAGGCCCCGACCCAGAGAACAGAATACGTGTAGTCAAGCCTGGGATGAAGGGAGACACAGAGGACCTTGGAGGCATGGACAGGGTCAAGGGAGGCTTCCTAAAGGAGGTACCATCTGAACTGAGCCATGAACCACAGACAAGATTTTTCTTGTCTGAATTCCAGGTGGAAGGGCCAATGTAAGCAAAAGCCAAGAGGTCTGAGAAGAGCGGAATATTGAGTGACAGGTTGGGGAGAAAAAAAGACTTGAGATATGGGCAGGGCCCCGATTGGCTGGACCTTGAAAGCCAGACTTCAGGGGCTAAAGTTGCCTGTCCTGAGGGCAGCAGTGAGTCTGGCAAGGTTTTAGCTCAGCTCATGACTGTCCCCAGACTGGGCTGCCCTTTCACCTATACTCCTAGGACCACCCTGAACGGGGAGGCCAGAGACCAAGTCCTAGTTCTGAATTGCCCTGCCCTGCTGTGTGAACTTAGCAAGGCTTGGTCTGTCCCTGGGCCCCTGTGCTTATATATTTAGGGTGGGGCTAGACTTGTTCTCTCCTGGGAGCCCTTTGGGAATCTCTGGATGACAGAGCGTCCGCTGTTCTGGGCAATGGGGCTGCTGACAGTGGCCAGGGCTTCAGTCACGTGGTTTGGGCTGTGGCCAGAGGGAGAGGAGCCAGGGAGGGTTTCCTCCAGGGAGGAGGGGCTGGAGCTTTGGGAGGAGCCCAGGTGACCCTAGATAGGCTCAAGGCTCCCTGGGCTGGCCTGCTCAGAGGCTTGACAAGGTCCCTCTCTCTGCAGAACCGTCTCTGGCTGGCGGCAGCAGGAGGACTATGGTGATTCTCCAGCAGGTGCGTGCTCCCGGCCCTGCTCTCCCTTC